TTTTTCGTTCTCTTCGTCAAGGCATTCAGCGTCTCCAAACTTGTACACCAAGTTGATGGTGTCCTACGTTTTCTTTCTTTTATTTTATTTTTGGTTATAACTTGATTTGTCAGAACTGTTATTGACCCCAACCGATGGCCATGTACTGTAGCCAACATCATGTCTGTGATGTGAATGTTGCAAGCACATTTTATCGACGCATACATGGATTTCTTTGGTTGTTTCAACCCTTAAAAAAATTTGACACAACAAAAAAGGGCGCGAAAAGCTCTGCTGGAAATGTGTAAATCAGAAATAATAAATCACGCGGCCAGGGTGAGAACGACAAACATAGTAAATTTGGTCATGGGAAAGGATTCACACTTGCAGAAAAATAGTACGGTTGGATACTGGTTGTAGGTATAGGTTGGAATTTGAAATGTAGGTTACGGTTTGAAATTCATGGTCGAAGATAAACGGCATATGTGTCAAAACTATATTTAATATGTACTGTACTTGGTTTCACATTGGGCGCCAAAAAAGCAAAGTATTTAAATATTAACAAACAAATACTGACTATCGCTTTTGTAAATCTTCAATATTTTCCTGAACATATGATGAGACCGGCTGGGACGAACTTTAAAAAAAAAAAATTAAAACAATAAATAAATAAATAGAAACCCTTAAAAATTCTCTTAAAATCTTAATAATACCGAATATAGGGCGTGACCGTTATTTTGGAGTCTATACAAAGTTGTGGACCTGCATAGGCAATTTTCTGTCACAGACTGCAGTAGCGTTTACGAAATGCAAATACGAAATTGGAAATAATTCCGCTGAATAATGTAGCTAAAATCATCAAAATACCGAATTTAGGGAGGCCTGGGCCAGCATTTGAAACAATTCCGGTGAATAACATAGCTGAAATCAACAAAATACCGAATATAGGTAGGTATAGGGGCTATACGAAAACGTGGACCTATTTAGACAGTTCTATGCAAGGAAGTTTCTTACATGCTGGGGAATACAAACTGAAATATTAAATATCATTGTTTTGGAGTGCATATTGTGAATATGAGGGTCTTTAACACCGAATCGGATGAAACATATATTTGAGAATCAATTTTCACCAAATTTGAAGTATTTCATTCTCAGCTGAATTCGGTCGGATGTGCCGAAATACATCGGCTAAACCTTCTTACGAACAATTTTTAGAAGAGCTTCATATACACCTCTGACTTTTACATCGATGCTGATTTTGTTGACGAACATAGACTGATATCGAATACATAGGAAATCACATAGAGGGAATTAAATTTTTTATACCCTCCACCATACTTTGTCATTCCGTTTGTAACTCCTCGAAATACTCATGTCAGACCCAACAAAGTATACATATTCTTGATCAGCGTAAAATTCTTAGTCGATTTAGCTGTTGTAATCACGCTATGCAGTATGCAGGTTAAGTTCGTAAATGGGCCATGTAGGTCCACGTTTTCATACAGCCCCCATATAACGGTACCTCCCGATATTCGGTATTTTGAAGATTTTAGCGATATTATTCACCAGAATTGTTCCAAATTTGGATACTACA